GAAACAACAGACAAATCAATGTTTCTCTCTCCCCCCCCTGCCCCGCCTCCCCCACTTCCTCTCTCCCTAAAGTTAATTTTAAAAAAGAAAAAGAAGTTTTCAAACATATACAAAATTACAGAGAGAATAATAAGTTCGCCTCAACCTATCCCCTAAATTCAAATACAGTAACATTTCACCCAACTTGCTTCACGCGGCTCTTTTTGTTCTTGCCGTTGTTGCCATTAGAATATTTTGTTGTGACTACAAGGAGTTTTATTTGCAATGGGCCCCAAACTGGAAACAACCCCAATGTCCATCAAAGGATGAAGAGGATACACTGTGGTTGGCCCATACGATGGACTACTACTAAGCAAAGAAAAGGAGTGAATTATTAATGCACGCTACGATGTGATGAATCTCAAAATAACTATTCTGAGTGAAAGAAGGAAGACCGAGGGGGGACAAAGAGCACTGGCTCCATTTATAGGACAATGTAGAAAATGCAAACGAATCTATTGCAACAGCAAGCAGGCCAGTGGTTGCTCCGAGGAGGAGGAGGCGGAGGGAGGGATGGCGAGGAGGAGGGAACCTGGGTGTGCCGGATGCCGGTTGTCTGGATTGTGATGGCAGCTTCGCAGGTGTGCAGGACACAGGTCGAACTCTTCACCTGTACGCTTCCCACGTGTGTTCACTGTAGGTCAGTGATACCTCACTAAAGCTGTTTCAGAAAACTACAACTCTGCCGAAGGGATTATCCACCACCCAGTTACACCTAGGAGTTCTTTTATGAGTTTTTTTCTTACAAAATGAACTAAATAAAGATACTTTTTGAGCATTTAATTGCCGGTAATTTCCCTCCTGTGGCTGCTAGGTGAAAGTCAGGGTTGAGAAAGAAGCAGGGGCCATAATTAGGGAAATTGAGCAGGTTTCTATGAACATTTTTAAAGCTTTATTAATTTTTTTTTAATAATATGTTTTTATTGATTTCAGGGAGGAAGGGAGAAAGAGATAAAAATATCCATGATAAGAGAGAACCATGGATCAGCTGCCTCCTGCATGTACCCTGACCGGGAATCGAACCTGTGACCTCCTGGTTCATAGGTCGATGCTCAACCACTGAGCCACGCCGGCCGGGCAGCTTTATTAATTTCTTAACAAAGCAGGCATTCTCACAGAGGAACGCCATGCCCCTTTCCCTCTGTGCACAGAAAAAATACAGACCTGGGATCTCGTTTGTAAAAAGCATTTAACGTGAGGGAACGGGGGCTCGCGGCCAGCATGCCGGAAGGGACGTCAACCATCCCGGCATTCGAGGGAAAACGGTCTTATTGTTCGTGAGAGGCTTCCGACTCTTTCTGGGTCTCGCAGGTCAGAAAAGCCCTTCCAGTAAGCGTAGCTACCGAACACTGACTCCTCACCTTTTCTCTCGGCTCCTTAGCAAGCTCGCCACTCGGCTCTTCACTGCTTGAAGCTGAACTTGAAAACCTGGGACAGAGATCCAGGTACAGAGATCCAGGTTACGTGGCTGGGCCAGCAGCGACGACTCCCTCCATCCCACACCCCACAGCCAGCTCAGGGGCCCGGGGTGGAACCGGAGATCATCCAAGCAACAGTGCCCGATTTGCTTTGAGAAAAGACATTTCCTTTCTGGTCACCAAACCAACAGAAAAGGGCTCAGGAGGGATGGCCTACCTTAGACACAGCATCATCAGGGTACCAGGAGCCCCAGGCGGGGGGGAGGAGAACTGGGTGCTAATGCCAGATCTACCAACCTCCCACCGCGGGGAGCTTGGGTCAGGCTTGTGACCTCACCTGAGCCTCTGTCTCTTCATCTATAAAATGGGGATAATTAACACCTCCCCATCGCCTTTTGTAGGGTGGATAGGAGGCTACCCCAAGCCCTAATAGCTACCTGAGGGCGTTCAGGGAAGATGGAGGATGCCCCGGGAGGAATAATTAATGGTTGTTGTTAGGAACTACAGGCACAACAGCAGCCCCACTGCACACCGGTCACGGGACTGGACTGGGGGAATGTATGGGGGCACGGGCCTGTCTCTGCCTCCCCGGGTGACTTTGACCAAGTTATTGTCCCTCTCTGGGCCTGTTTTCCCACTTGTGAAGGGGAAGAGGGAGAAAGGGGAGTTCTGAAAAGTTCCTTAGGTTGGATGCCTAAAGATTAGTTTGCGGGGCGGTGGGGAGGGAGGCTGCAGAGGAAAGAAAGGAGAGAGAAATCAAACCTCTGAAACCTAACCCACACTTGGAGCCTCAGTTTATCCATCTGTCCAGTGGGATTAATCCAAGGCACTGCAGGGAGAGGAGGCGTGTGAGGTCCCTGACACTGTTTCCCCTTCCTCTGTTATCTGAGCTCAGGGGTGCTCAGGCCCACACATGGGAATCACCCCGGAAGCTTTAACAACAACCAAGCGAGGAGCCCCTCTCCCTAGACCAGTGATGGCGAACCTATGACACGCGTGTCAGAGGTGCCACGCGAACTCATTGTTTTGGTTGATTTTTCTTTGTTAAATGGCATTTAAGCCGAAACCAGTTTGGCTCAGTGGATAGAGCGTCGGCCTGCGGACTGAAAGGTCCCAGGTTCGATTCCGGTCAAGGGCATGTACCTGGGTTGCGGGCACATCCCCAGTAGGAGATGTGCAGGAGGCAGCTGATCGATGTTTCTCTCTCATCGATGTTTCTAACTCTATCTCTCTCCCTTCCTCTCTGTAAAAAATCAATAAAATATATTTTTTTAAAAATGGCATTTAAATATATAAAATAAATATCAGAAATATAAGTCTTTGTTTTACTGTGGTTGCAAAGATCAAAAAAATTCTATATGTGACACGGCACCAGAGTTAAGTTAGGGTTTTTCAAAATGCTGACACGCTGAGTTCAAAAGGTTTGCCATCACTGCCCTAGACCCACTGAATCGGAATCGCGGGAGGTGGGACCCAGGCACTGCTATTTTTTCTCGGTGATTCTAAATGCTGAGAGCACCGGTCTAATTCTGGCCCAGCTGGCTGCCCTAGTTCCCAGGGCTGGGAGGGCAGCCTGCCCAGAGGTCCTGCCCCCTGGAAGCTCCATCCCTAACAGAGTATGTCAGTGGCATGCATGTCATTACTGAGCTAGTCGACACGCCCAGTGGCATCTCCCTGTTGTAAGCAAGAAGCCATTTGTGGGAAAACAAAGGCACAAGAGATATCAGAGGCCGGGAGAGCTTAGAAAATGACCACTAACTAACAGGGTTAATAATATCATTTAAAGCCGAAACCGGTTTGGCTCAGTGGATAGAGCGTCGGCCTGCGGACTGAAAGGTCCCAGGTTCGATTCCGGTCAAGGGCATGTACCTGGGTTGCGGGCACGTCCCCAGTAGGGGATGTGCAGGAGGCAGCTGATCGATGTTTCTCTCTCATCTATGTTTCTATCTCTCTATCTCTCTCCCTTCCTCTCTGTGGAAAATCAATAAAATATATTTTTTAAAAAAATAATATCATTTAAAGCTACAATGCATTGAGGGCTTTCCACGGGCAGAGTGATTCCCGGTATTATGCTCTGGGTCTTTACCTTTAAGAAAGGTCTTAGTATCATGAGATGAAGAAACCGAGACTCAAGATATCTGACCCATCTGGTTTTATTTTGCCGGCCACTCGTGGAGGTTTCGGCCATACATTAGGTGACCCCAGACTTTAGGAGAAGAAAGCTTAGCTATGGAGACAGGCTGAGCTGGAATACATCGACTTCCTCACAGTACTTCACCTTTCCTATCCCAATCTGTGAAATGGGCACAATATCTCCCCATCTCAAAGATGAGAAGAGACAAGAAAACCCAGCTCCTGGCCCCACTGCTGGCATGTGCCTCATCTGAGAAATGGCAGCTAACGCCACTTCCTCTTGAGGCTGCGGGTGAACCCAGAGAGGAGGTTGTAAGGTGCCCAGCACGGACCTGGGGCCTGCAGTGCCTCATCCCAGGGGGGAGTGGGCTCTGGTGGGCGGTTTGAGACAGCTGGGGGACAGAGTGAACCCCATGGGATGTTCCCACTCACAGTTTGGTCATATCCGCCGACAGGGGCCGAGCCTGGAACGCCCTCCTCCTGACCTCCGGCTTGACCTTGGAGCTCTCGGTGGCCCAGCCTTTGATCCGATCCTGGACGCTCAGTCCTGCTTTCTCGGGCTCCGGAGCAGCCGATGGGGACTCAGGGGTGGCCAGTGGGGGTTCAGACCCCACGGCCAAGGCGCTTTCCTCCCCAAACAGACTGAGGCGCTTCTTGACGCTGCCCCTGGAGACCCACTCTCCCCGGGTCCGAATTTCCCCATCGGATGCTCTGCTCTTGACCTCCGCGCTTTCTCGGCCTTTGCTCGGCCTGGGCGAGGGGGACTCGGGAGCCTTGTCTGGCTTAGTGTCCAGCCTGGCTTTCTCTTCCTCGGGCTTCGAGTCATCTAAGGGGGTGACCCTGGCCGAGCCCCCCGCAGTTCTCAGGCCGCCCAGCTCGGCCTGCTTGGAAAGCGCCTTCTCCTTCCGTTCGCGGATCTTCTTGGCCACCTCCAGGAAGTCGGCGTCTGGGTCGGGGAGGGGAGCCTCTGCTTTGACCGGACACTCCCTGTCCCCTCGGGGCTCCGGGTCGGGCCTCTCGGGTC